GTCTAAAGTAAACATCTTTTATTTTCAAAGAAATCGTTAAGAAAATCATAAAGCGTATCTTCGAGTTACATTTAATCTTTGTTTTATTAAAATTGGTTAATTCTATCGAAAGTAATGATTATTATTTTGAAATGTGGGTTCGGATTTGTTCAATGGCGCCATAAAATCTCAGAAATAGTAATAAAAAGATTTGTGTGTAAAAAAAACGTTCCATAATAATTAATATATTTATACTTAAAACACAAAAAGAGATTTGAAAAGGATGTTTTCTCACACAAAGGACGTAATGGATGGAGTTGTACAAATTACAAACTTTTCTGAATTGCTGTGTTGAGATTTTTCGCCGATGAAACGTATTGAGACTCACTGAAGAAATTTGTATCCATCGAAGCCATACAACGGAACCCGACCAAAAATAAAAATTTTGCAACGAAATGTCGTGATATTGTATTTATAATATACGCAAAACCAGTACTGTTATTTTAGCGCTTTGGGAACTAGATTTAGCGCTTTTTTGGAATGTATAGCGCGCATTTCGAAATTTTAGCACCTAGCGCTTAATCCAGCGCTTTTTGGTGTATTTAATCTAACTCTTTTAATAGCAGCTCTGTTAGTCCACATTACCGATAATAATAATAATGACCTTTATTATTTTTCCCACAAATAGTACGTTGCAGTTTATCTTTTTCAAACATATTTTTTCCACAAAACAAAGAGCGTGGGAGACGAGTCCAAACTAGGATACCCTGTGCTATGTATCTCCTGGCTTCCTCTTTACGATCATCAACTTGATTTTTTTACCGACGACTATAAGCGGGGAAATCTCCTTTATTAATGTTTTCGTTCATGGTTTTGGCAACGCATTTATTTTGCTTGCATGCGGCTCACCTGATGGTAAGTGACTATCGCCGCCCATGAACAACTGCAACACCAGGGGAATCGCAGATGCGTTGCCGGCCTTTTAAAAAGGAGTACGCTCTTTTCTTGAAGGTCCCTAAGTCGTATCGGTCCGGAAAAATCGCTGATGGTAATCGATTCCACAAGGAGGTCGTGCGAGGAAGAAAACATCTTCTAAATCGCACAGTGGTGGACCGCCAATCATCCAGATGGTGTGGATGGTATCGAGAGTTCTGCCGCGATGTGCGTTCGTGAAATTTGGCGGCTGGGATTAATCCGAACAATTCCTCAGAGCACTCCCCATGGTAGATGCGAAAGAAAATGCAAAGGGATGCAACATCTCTTCGCAGTGCCAATGAATCGAGCCGATCGGAAAGGGCTCGGTCGTCGACGATTCGCGCAGCTCTGCGTTGGATGCGGTCAAGTGGAAGGAGCTGGCACTGGGGAGCCCCTGCCCAGAGATGGGGAAGATATAGAAGTTATAACACAAAGAAACTGTGTAGCAATCGCAATCAGATGATGATATCTGAAACTAAGTTGCGAAATACATTGCACTTTAAAACAATTAATGACATTTTTATTGTTCGTACAGTACTAAATACTGTTGACAGCAATTGCCATAAATATAAGTCGATGTCCTGCGAAGTATTGATACATCAGAAAAATATTGCCAGAAAAAAAACTTAATGTTGTTTTCTTTATTATGATTATATTAAAAAAACACAAACTTTTTTTGTAGTTAATTTAGCGCTAAATCTAGGGCTTTTTTAAAGCGCTGTTTTCATGAAATCTAGGGCTTTTTGTGTTGTCCTAGAGCTGAATGAGTTTTTTTTTATCTGGCAGCACTGCCCAAAACCCTCTATTAAGAAGTAACTTTCCTTTCAGTTTTAAGCGCGTTCAGTTCCCAATTACAGTGAGCGTGTGTTATGCGATGACCGTAAATAAAGCGCAAGGTCAAACTTTACGCGTTGTAGGAGTGTACCTCAGTACTGACTGTTTTGCACATGGCCAACTCTATGTTGCTTTTTCCCGCGTTAGTAGCCCCCGTAACCTTTTTGTGTACACCCTTACTGACTTACTGACTTAGAACTTTGATGATAATGATTTATTTAGCTACCACTTATTGATACAGTAATGAAATAAATCGTTTTATAATCTCTTACCTAAACGACAAATTCTTTATGTAAAACCTGTATACGCGAGCTACGCCGCGGGCACAGCTAGTAAATAAATAAGGTTGCACTTGTACCATATTGCACAATTGTTTTTTTTTTTATTTTTTATTTATTTTTTTAGTTTTTGAAGTCGGCTTTTACTTTCTACTGCAAGTTTACACAACAAAATTGTTCGACTAAGTCATGACGATTTTTCATTGTAACGCATTTCCATTGTAACTCCCATCGATCTGTGAACACCATTTACCTATGCATGTGTATAACATAATAATTAGTAAACATATTTGCAGCGTTTTGTATATCGATAATGATAATACCAGCCTGTCTGTTATCGAATCGTGTAACGATCTGTGCATAATCAGTCGTGTTCACTCGTTTTCACGTTTTATACATCATCGAAAACTATCTTATGAATTTTCAACATAATTGTTATTAATTTTTTAGAACATCTTCGTTTTATACATCATCGAAAGCTGTCTTATGAATTTTCAACTTAATTTATATTATTTTTTTAGAACAAAAATGACTGCTTACAGCGAATACTGTTTATTCACATAATATTACAAATGCATGTTAAATGCGACGTATCTTGAATTGCCACTGTAGCTAGCTCATCTTCTATCTCGTATCGCGTATCGTGATTCATCTGTCTGTACGTTCGCAATGAAAACTGCTGATTTTATTTTCTTAACTTCTTCGAAGACCTCGTCTTTCAAACTTTCTGATTTTTAATAATGGTAGCCACAAGTATTTATGGAGTCATTTGTGCCTGTGACTATTACAGTATATACATATACCTAGCACATTGGTTACGGGATAGCTAAGTTGATTTTCTACATTCGTAAACGCTAATAGAAAACTGAAAATGAATGGGAATTACATATCTGAACGTGTCATTCCATTTTTATAATTGTCTACTAACGTTAACGATTACAGATTAATTAAACCCTCAGAATACATTCCGATCATTAAACACTGAAGTAAAATTGTTGATATATTGTAACATCGTGGTTTTTTTTTATAAAGTCGAAGTAGTGGTCAGAAGTTCCAAGCGGAGATGTAACCTTGACATATCTTTCTAGATCATTGGTCATTAAAGCTTCGATGACCTTTAACGTCGGGTACTCTTGCATCCCTCGTAATATTTTTGTAAGTGGCAGAGTCATGCTGCATGCGTAAGCAACCCATACAGCACGAATGGGTAGGCTCGACCGGGAAAGGGTTCATCCGTCACAGAATGCCAGCGTGAGATAGCAATATAATGCTCTTTCACCCTGGTATACTCTGGCTCTGCTGATGGTGATGTCATTTCGTATGGTGAATGGTGAGAGAATCGGAAATCTGTTTTATTGGTAAGGGGGCATTTTGAGTTCAACACGTCTATTTACGTCTACGGACCACAGCATACCCATGTGGTGTAGGTACTATGACAAAGCAATATAACTGAAATATTAAATGATATCATCACTCAACGTGGACCTTATATGGTAAGGAGTAGAAATAATATCTATTTAGTTCAGTAATATCATATTATATTTATAGAAGAAGATACAATTCATGTGTCTCTACCTGGAACCACGTAACACAAATCCTGCCCCCTACCTATACCTACGTCACAATTACTATATATAAGTCTCCTCCAAATCAATAAAGAGAGAATTATTAAACTGCATCAGTGAGTCTTAATTTATTGCATTTTCCAAACATTACATGGCGACCCTGCCAGGCGGCGCTCTGCTACAATGCACGCGCACCGCCGGGCCTACAAGAATATTAAAAGTTTATTATCAGCTGGACTGTGTGCTCGTATATCACCAATACTTAAAACTAACTCTTTCTACTCTTTTATTATAAGAAATATATATATATATATATATATATATATATATATATATATATATATATATATATATATATATATATATATATATATATATATATATACATATATATATATATATATATAATAAGAAAATACATATTTTACCAAGCATAACGATTATAGCCTTCTTTACTAGGTGGTAGAACTATTTTTATGCCTTAGATTCCGTCTCGCTAGGTACCACCTTCTTACCTATATTTCTGCCGCCGAAGTGCGTGCACTGCTTTTTTCCTTTCAAAAATGTATAGAGCCAGTAATTATTGCAGTCTGTGAGGCATTCCGTCTTAGTCCTCGGAGCTGACAAGTAACAACGTATCTCAGCGCGACAGTAGTAGGGATGGGCAAGGGAAAAAATATATCGATATATATCGGATCTATATTTTTTAACAGTATCGATATATATCGTGTGATAAATATCGATATATCGTCATCATTTGCTTGATGTAAAGATAAGGTCTAAAATTTTATTTTCTGACGGTTGGACGACGAAAAACACGATACATTTCGAAATATATTGATACGAATTCGATACTCTAAAATAAATATCGATATATAGCGATTTAAAAAGTGAATATATATATCGATATTTATATTTAAAAAATATCGATATTTCGATATATATCGATATTTTTTGCCCAAGCCTAGGCAATAGCCACTTCTATGGTAGATTGTGGGTTTAATTGCCTCTTCAGGTTTATGTAAAAAAAAACATGCGTGACTGTCGTGGAACATTCGGTTGGGACGAAGATCCTTTCGTAGTATATTATTCTTGATAAACGTATTATATTATTGATTAACAAAATACAAATAAATTAATTATATTAGCGTCTATTAAAATGAAGCGTCATTTAAAATGAAATAATATTTGTTTCATGCCAAAGTGCGAGGGAGATGGATATTATTCCATCTCGCTTCCTTATAGCCGCCAAGGCCGTCTACACTACGTCAGAAGGGGTCGTGACGGAATAATCTTACAATTTTTGCCATCTGCCGAATCCGTACCGTCCGATAAAGAACTTCGTTCCAATAACTTGTTTATTTTGCAGGAGACAGTCTGGAAGAGCTCAATGGATATGGCACGATGCGACCACGAAACATAATCTCGTCAATACTAAGCGGCACTCCGGCCAAGAACAAGGGGCTCGCTATATCGAATCCGCACGACTTTAGAATGGTGAGTTTGGATTAGACCACATTTTAAAGCTTTAAACTGTGATTAGACCGTATAGAGGCAGAGACCTTGTAGTAGCATATCATGTACATTGTACAGTGTGTCGTAAGAGGCGACAGGGGGAAACAAATCAGAAAATGGGCAGCAGTGTCTTTCTAATAATAACTAACAAATATAAACTGCGGTTGCCAAACCGGCTGCCAAGCGTGGCAATTATGGCAAATATCCCACCAATAATACAATAAATGAGGGAGTCCGATGTTCTGCAGTGGACTATTGATTTTTACGTAGTAAAGCCATGCTGCAGCTATATTATGGTTGTAGCACGAATGGGTCGGCTCGACCGGGGAAGTACCACGCTCTCACAGAATACCAGCATAAAATAGCAGCTTAATGCTGCTTTGTTTCGTATGGTGAGTGTAGAGAACCGGAGACCCTTTTTACTGGAAAAGAGGCATGCTATCTTAGTCCTCACGGCTGACAACGCATCTGCATTTTAATTCGCAAACGAAGATAGATGTAGATGTCTAGGGGCCACACCAACCACTTACTATCAGGTGGACTGTGTGCTCGTTTGTCACCCTTATTCTATATATAAAAAAATACGCTGTAATATTCGTACGGAGTTCGATTTATCTACCCCACAATAATAAATCCCTTATCGATCAGGTACACAAAGCGTGGAATATATTATGGCTTATTATTATAATCTTTTTCTGTATCCAGGTGTCAGCGATCATAGACGTGGACATAGTGCCGGAGACGTGTAGGAGGGTGAAGCTGCTTAAGCATGGCTCTGACCGGCCCTTGGGATTTTTTATCAGGTATTTTCTATTTTTTAATATTGTCTAGATATGTTCAGCAGATACTTCACGTGGATGATTAAAATCTTGGCTCGTACTGGTCATTCTGATGCAGTAACAGCCTTAAATGTCCTCCGATAACTAGATCCAAACGTACCGTGTCATTGCGTAAGTATATCATAAGTCTTTACCCCATCGCATACCGTGGGTTACAGAAGTGGCGACTTAGTGAAAATTCCAGATGATCGTATGGCTCTTCAAGATTGTTATAGATTTTGCTATAACCATCTCGTATTGATACCTATAAAATATAATAGAATAGAATCATTTTTCTACCGACTTCAAAAAGGAGCCGGTACTCAATTCGACTGTATGTTTTTTTTTATTTGAAAGCTGGTGCTTTACATGTGGTCCCATATATTGATCAAGTTCTGACCAATAGTTTTTGATTTATTCTTAATTCAAACAAGATGGACGACGATTTTGTGTATACAGTATACCCGTATTATTTAAGTGCATGTCATTATTTATTATATTATGTGCAAAAATAATACAATAAAACAATACAGTAAAGTATTTAAATACAAGATTATATATTTCATTCATAAGTACTAGTCTGTCATCTTCATCCAAGGGTTTTAACTTTTTAGATAAAATCTGACCATACAAATCACATTCATTCATTTTTACTGTCTTTTTTAAACCTACCTACTTTTTTAAACGGACCTATTTTAAAACATACTGCGGACGATCGTCCTGCTCAACAACGCTCGCGCGACTTAACTTTGCGCAAGTGTGGCAGGCCACGCAAACATTTGAACACTGTTGACTTTCAACGTTTTGGTGTGCGCTAAAAAACCGGGACCGCTTGGCAAAGTGCATTTTTTTTAATATAGGAGAGGGGGCAAACGAGCATGCGGCTCACCTGATGGTAAGTGACTACCGCCGCCCATAAACAACTGCAACACCAGGGAGGGAATTGCAGATGCGTTGCCGGCCTTTTGCACACTTATTTGTACATTGATGCAAAGTGCCGTGCCACACATAGCTTCAAACAAGTGTTCAAATGTTTGAAGCTGTATCTGGCGCCGGCTTTACAAGAATACTTATTGAGAGTAATTTAATCTTTACCACTGGTTCGGAAAATAAACCTCTGTTCTGGGAAGAACCAGCAAGAAACCCAGCGAGGCTTTTTTTAAACATTAATTTACAATATAATATTTTTTTTTATAATTGTGAAAACCTTTAGAAACAGCATGGTAGCAATCACCTCATTCCCAGGGGTTATTATCAATCACGTACTCTTTGGTAGTATGATAACCATTTTATGCTTAAAAAAAAACTTTTTGATAGATAGGTATTGCATATTCTGATCTGGTCTGGTCTGGTCCTGTATATACAAACCAGACATAAATTCCCAGAACAGAGATGGAAAGCAGTGTGAAAGGTGCGAGAGGTTTAATGCTATGTGGTGGTGGCTTTGGAGGATCCATCATCCTATATAATATCATCCTATAGGTGTCGTAATAGGCGACCATGCGCAATACCAGAAAAAATTTGTGGCTTCCGATATATGGTCCGACATCACTGAAACCGGGACTTGACAGCAGCTTCAGGTGCAAGACGTCTGGTATTGCAACTGTCGATTCGCCTGCCAAGACTAACTTCCCTACAACGGGAGAGGCATCAGTATATCCATCAGTTAATTTTTGCAGAACGTATCGGTTGTTGAGCCCCGTTGCCGATTTTACTACTGGAAATTCTTCGCACCTATGCCCCATTAAAGATGTGCGAGGAGCTCGGGGCCATTTTCTTTAGTTTCTGTCGCTACGAGACGGCGAAGAGCCAAGGCCGTTCTTTCGGCTTTGTCGCTCGTTTAGCGAGGCTTGATGGTGAATTGATTACGTTACAGCCTATTAAAGTCCACTGCTGAACATAGGCCTGCCTCACTTGCCCATATAACCATAGGGGGATATTTGCCATAGTTGCCACGTTATTTTGAAGACGCTGCTGCTCATTTCCCGATTTGTTTCTCTCCGTCGCCTCTTACGCGTCACCTACGGGATGATATGGGGATATGAATTGATTTCATTTATTATTTATTCGTCAGTCAATCAGTTCAATTTTTTTACCACCTCTCCAGGGACGGCACGTCAGTCCGGGTGACGCCGAACGGAGTAGAGCGATCCCCGGGTATATTCATATCGCGACTGGTGCCCGGTGGCCTGGCCGAGTCCACAGGACTCCTGGGCGTCAACGACGAAGTGCTGGAGGTCAACGGAATCGACGTGTCCAATAAGACCCTCGATCAGGTCGGTATTCAGTGTAATAAAAAAAAAACATTAACGAATGTTTTGGTCTGTGTTTAAACCTAACTAATACGTTGCTAGTGCTGGGTTGGTATCCAAGTTGAAGCCAACATCTGTGCAAAAAATATCTTAGTTGATCTTATTAACAGAGCTATATTACAAAGAGCAGGTGTAGTATAAAACGTAAAAAAAAACATCCTGTAACACCCGAAGAATTTTATTTAGAATTTTCTTCTATATGTGGAGACGTCTTACACAAATTATATAAATTGCACATGGACGAACTAATTCGAAACAATGTTTGTATGCCATTCAAATACCTACTATGGGTGAGAATCAAACCAGCAACTCGCAGTGCTGCTTGCCTTGTGAATGACAGGCCATTTTTCTTTGTTCGTCACCGCCGTTAGTTCCAGGTGTTAATAAGTTGCAGTGGCCAACTACGAGTACCATCGTACTGCGCTTCATGCAGTAGTTAAATACAATTAATTCCCTTTCTCATATTACAGGTGACGGACATGATGGTGGCGAACTCCTCGAACCTTATCATCACAGTTCGACCAGCTAACCAAAGAGCCGGTCTTCCGCCAGCGGAGACCGTTTCGCGTCACTCACAGCCCTCCAGCGAACCTGACGACGATAGGTAACACTTTGGATTACTTAATTTTTATAAGAAAAGAAGACGGATCTCTTCTTCTCTTCTTTCTGGGTTCGTAAACATCCACTGCTGGCCCTCACACACTTGGCAGCGGGATGGACTATTGTTGCCCGTTGATCGTTGATCAGTGCCTGACTGCTTCCCATTGCTACACTAAGTATTTGATGTATGACGTAAACGAGATAGTTATAGCGTCTTCTTTTGGAAGCCATACCATTCACTTGGTGTTTCTCACAGTCGCCTCTTACAGTGTCGTAAAAGGCGACCTTGTGAATATGAATAATGGAAATGTATGGTTTTTTCCACGTGGAAGAGCCACACTGCAGCTATACTATGGTTGTAGCACGAATGGGTCGGCTCGACTGGGGAAGGTCCATGCTCTTACAGAATACCAGCGTAAAATAGCAGCTTAATGCTGCAAATATGTTTTGTATGGTGATTGTAGAGATCCAGAGACTTTTTAACTAGAAACTAAGTATTTCATCTTAGTCATCACGAGTGACAACACATCTACATTTTGATTCTTAATCGAGGATAAATGTAGATATCTCTGAGCCACAGCATTCACTTACCATAAGGTGGACTGTGACTGTGTGCTTGTTTGCCACCCTTTAATATAAAAAAAAAACACGAACGACCAGGGACGAAATGAGTTGTGGATTCTCTTATGCCGCCTTCCTATAATCCTGAAATAAATTATCAGACAATTACATGGTGCTTTGAGGAGAAGCCAACGAAATGTCGTCGTCGTGCGCGAAGCACACAGAAACTTCCTTCATTTGTGATCTTGGCACCGAAAGGATTAGACAAGAGTAAACAATTTAGAAAATTTCATAATGTCCCACAACTCGAAAACTGTGAGACTTTTACTGGGTACGCTTTTTTGTTTTCTGAACAGTTATAATGTACCCGTAGATAAAGCTATATCAACTCTACGCCACACCTGTATATACAAATTTTATCTTTCTGCACTCCTCCATAAAAACAAACTATTCCAAATCAAAAAGGGGGTACAAAGTTTTTTCTTCACATATAAAAATATAGATTCAATAAAATGTGCTTATCCTATTCGTCCGCCAATATTTGAAATCTTTCTATTTTTAGATTCGACCAAGATGAGCAGGACGAAATCGTCGACTTAACAGCCGTTACCTTAGAAGACCAGCACCCTGAGCCAGGTTTCGCACACACAGTCCCTACAAAAGACGACGGTCAAGTTCTACATCTCTAGTACATACTTAACAGGTATCGACGGGCGAGGGAAAAAGCTATTTTACACCATAACTCTTAACTGGTGTTAAAATCGCGAAGTGACATTCCAAATTAGTATTCATATGGTGCAGTGAAGTGATCATTCCATATTATATTCTAAATTGTAGCGGGATAAGTATCATTATAGACTGGCCGTGCGTTTTGTACTTAATAACGTAACAATAGACGATTGTACGCTTAAGCTATATATAGATACGTGTCAAAATAGTATATCTTATAGGACGTCACAATATTGGTATAAGAGTTAGCAATAATTAATGCAATGAAATCATAATTATGGTATAAGGTCACTTAAGGTAAATCCACATGATATTATTTTTAAGGTAATACTGGAAACCATCTTCTTGGTTCAAATATAATATCTATTACATAAAAGTCGAAATTATAAACAATGATTATTTAGTCGACTTTAATACTTAATAAGGATTAGTATTTCATATAATATCAATATTCTCAAGTGCCTTAAAGACAAGGATACACTGTGATTCTTATTTCCGTAATAACTATTCATTAAATTCACGTTTATCCGAATAAAATAAACAGGGCAATCATAAATAAAAAATTTCATAAATTCTATAAAGGTGGATTGAGAAAAAAATATTTAAAAATAATATATTATTATTCATTATTAGGCTCATGGTTCACGTTATTTTTAACATGGCACAACAGAGTTGCCATGTTAAATATCGTATATTGTTTACTCAATTTTATATTTAATACAATTATCAAAAATAGTATAAAATAATTCAAAAGTTTTTGTTTCATGGCAACATTATTTAGCATTCACCGTTTTAGCCTTGCTAGGTTATTTATTAAAATTTACACTTTTTTTTAAAAAAAAATTGTAAATGTGAAAGAGAAATCAATTTACCTTTTCGTGTGGATTGACTTTAACACACAGATTTTACAGATAAACATATAATCGTTGTTGAGGTATAGATTTGTTGATAATGTTTTTTACTTTAGACACTCAAATATATCAGTCTGATGTTATTAAGAAATAATCCTTTTTAATATACTGTTATTTATATCAAGAGAAGTGATATGTTCAAATCATATTGGCTAGATAAAAGATACAAATTATGATAATGAAAGAAAGAAAATGCATTTATTTATAACAAAACATTGATATTAAAAGTCGAACAATATGTTGCTTAAAATTTTATATAAAAGTATGTCATCACACATCGGTCCTAACTCAGCATAACATACATACATGTGTTGGCTGGGTGGTGATCCATTGCATTAGATTGGCACTATCAGTATTCGGATATACATTCAGCTTATTAATGAAATACTTGTATTGTACTGAACTTCATTTGTTTATTACGTAACCACTCAACATATACAAAAAAATATTCCGACTTACGTCCGTGGATTCAAAGTGTTAAGGCATAGAACTTTACGCCGTCTAAAATCCTCTCATAAATCAACTATTAAAATGAATAAAAAATATTAACCTTGTCTATGAACTATTATAAACCAATATCAAAGATGGATAGACCCGTTTGAGTGGATAAAAGAAAAGGAAAAACATCATGGTACCATTATCCCGTTTGCGACTGAATTTTTGCTGTCTGGGTAAAAAGCATTGGTCGGTTTGTAGTTCCGAGTACTAGAAATGTGTGCCTAAACTGTTATGATTGGCTCAATTATTTGTATGAATTTTTTAACATAATATTTTTAACTTGGCAATAACTATGTAAAGTTCACAATTACAATAATGAAATGCACGTGAGACTGCACGAATTCTCTATGGTGAGCATAAAATATAAATGTCACTCAGTGTAGCAAGTCAGAAAATACTATAATATATATGCATGATAGTAACTTATATCAAAAAACCGAGCAGGATTTTTCCTGACGCCTAAAAAATATCATGCCTTTATCCCAAAAAAAAAGTAATTCTGATAAAAATAATAATGAAATGATATAATTTTACGCACAAAATTGTATCGTATTCATTTTTATGAATATAGGTTACAACTGATCCTTCAAACCGGATTAGCGATTTTGTTAGAAAGCAAACACTAGATGTATTATATAATCTACAAGAAATTTATAAATTACTAAGAATCTAACCGATTTGAGTTTTGTTCAGATTAGGGAATCCTTTTCTATTTTCTCTATTGTTGCTTATTTGAAACATTTCATTTCGTATTGAATCAGTCTAAGACTCATTTAACTTCTCATTTGAATCAAAAGTATAGTCATTAAGTATTATGAATTAGTTTGTTAGGACTATTGTATACATGTATTCTACTTTCCTGTATTACATTCCAAAAAAGTATTATTGTATTGAAATTTGTGTTTATTTATACCTTCCATTTATAATATTATTATCTATTAATTGGTTGAAATTATTGTTTTAGGAATTGGACAATAAATTAGATATAGTGATTTGTAGGTGAAGAATTCCATCCATTTTGTTTTATATTGTATGATTGAAATCAACCAATACGCGCTGCATTCTTTTATAAATTATATTTAGCTCTAACTTATTAAATTTAACGTAATTTTAGTTTATGTTTTTATATTAACAACACATTTTACAAGAATGCAGTGCGTATTTCAGAAAATAGATAAAGTATTGATTAACATTTCATAGAATTAATCACTTCCCATGGAAGGTGCTAATAATCAAAAATCACTCAGAATTATGTTTGTAGTTATCATGAATTTATATAAAGTTTTATTCAAATATTTATTATATCTTTTGAAATCCGTTACTTATAAATATTCTTCAGGAAATAAAAAGAAATGTTAGGTTTTAGAAAGTTTCAAAAATTATAACAACAATACATTCCGTTACTAAAGACATAATTTCGCTCGAATCTGTTCTTAGGCACGTTAACATATAAAACTAAGTTCACCATTATTAAACTTAATATGTCAATTTATATTTATGACTTGTGTAATTTGAGAAATTAGCTGAAAGTGGTGTACTGTGAACAGTGAATGAAATATAATGAAATATGGCTTATTATAGTGTCTTGTTCCTTTGAAATTTGATTTTTTTTGTATAATATTGAAAATGTTTTTTTGGTTAAAAAATATAAATGTAAGGCAATTTATACAAAAAAAAATATTAAAATCATCCATGTACTCATGTATGGAACAGTGAAATTAAGAAAAAATATTTACAATTGTTTAATCAACATTTTTTCTATTTTTGTAGAGATGTATTATTTGGATCAAATAGCCTTTAGTTTTTTCGAGCTTAAATTAACTTTTAGTCTGATAAGAATATTTAATGTATGATTGTGTAATTATTTCGTCATCTAGTATTATTCAACTATCTATGCACATATCAAGAACAGCTTTGGAATATTCTAAATGTGAGATCTTGTAACATTGCTGTTTGAATATAACTAAATGCCACATCCAAAACAGGGGAATAAAACTACAAATATGTTGTCAGAATCACACAATTTCTTTTAAATTGATACTAAACATTTTTTTTAATAGATAGAAGAAAATATGTGTGAGCCCTTTACATACAACTATAGCAATACATATCATGTTAGTGTCAATATTTGTCGGCATATTGCTATATTATGATTCAATTAATGGTTTGCAGACTTTGATACTTTAATGTATTAAGTGGTGCGATTTTGTATTTTAAGTGTTTGCGCGTATGAACAGTTAATTGCGTTAACACAAGTGTACCGATTGTGATATAAAAAGAGTTACTGTGTTCATTTTTGCGCCTTGAAATATTATTGGAATTGACTCGCTGAGCTGGTTTAAGATTACGCCTAAATCTCCCAAACGAAAAATATTCTAAAGATTTCTATGATTTTTTTTAAATATTGTTTGTGGTATGGCTAAAGGCCTTGAAGCCAGTGCTGCAATAAAAAATAAAAATATTTTAATGTTCTTAATACCTTTATACATAAATACACTTGAAACAAAAATGTTTAAAGAATGTATTATATCATTTTTATAAATCAAACAAAATATACATTTATTACATAGTGGTTATAGCGTTAATTGTTTGTAACATAATCACTAAAGGGTTAAAATGTATGCAATGTGAATTTACAGCACATATATTACTAAGGCAAAGAATTATGGACTATAACTTGCTATTAACGTATGTTACACAAATTTATTATCATTAAACCTTATTTTTAACATATTAAAATTGTTCTGTAAATACATTTGCCAGTATTCAAGAATGAGCTGCAACTATATTTATATTTTGCTTCCTAAAATTTTTTACTTTTTTTAGCCTTTATTCTTAATTTAAAAATAATTTGGCAAGTCTTATGACCATACATATACAGTTATTGCATGTCACAATGTTCTGTTCAATCGCCATCGTAATTGTAATATTGTGACATAATTTTTAAATCGATTTTATTCTTATCACATTTGCTATTAGTAAATGATCTTAATTATACACTTCTGTTATATAGGGTGTGTTCCGATATTCACTGTGACCACTGTAAGGTGTGACGTCAATTCAGTATACTTTGAAGCCGTTCCTTTTCAGTTTGCTATACTGGTTACTGTTTAAAACGGAACGCAGTCCAGTGTACTGTTAATTCCATTTTTCAAATAAAATGTTTATCATATACAGGTTTTCTTTTCAACGAGAAAAATTATTATTTGAATGTTGTTGCTTTTATAACTTAATGTCCGAGTTTATTTGAATAACAATATTAATTAACAATCATTCGTGGAAGCTGTTAAATCTTGTTGCGCTGTTATGTTTTTAGGTCACGTGATCAAAGTATTGAGAGCACCTTGCCTCGAAAACGCCAGTGCTCACAGTACAGAAATGTTAGCGAGCAATGACGTCATATAATCCCTGGGTACTGTGGCAGTATACTGGCTGTCCATAACGGAAATAATTTTTAACCAGTGAGAGCAACTGATCAGTACTCGCAGTGTATATCGGAACACGACCGTATCCTAACACTGGTACACATACTTTTTATATTGCTATTTATG